AATTTTTGGATAAAAATGTGTTTTTTGCCTCTTTTTGATAAAAATACAAGGCTAACTAACCCCTTACCGTTTAAAATTTTGGATAAAAATGTGTTTTTGCCCCTTTTTGATAAAAATGCAAGGCTAACCCCTTACCGTTGTAAATTTTGGATAAAAATGTGTTTTTGCCCCTTTTAGATAAAAATGCAAGGCTAACCCCTTACCGTTGTAAATTTTGGATAAAAATGTGTTTTTGCCCCTTTTTGATAAAAATGAAAGGCTAACCCCTTATCGTTTTAAATTTCGGATAAAAATGTGTTTTTGCCTCTTTCTGATAAAAATACAAGGCTTACCCCTTACCCTTTTAAAATTTTGGATAAAAATGTGTTTTTGCCCCTTTTTGATAAAAATGCAAGGCTAACCCCTTACCGTTGTAAATTTTGGATAAAAATGTGTTTTTGCCCCTTTTAGATAAAAATGCAAGGCTAACCCCTTACCGTTGTAAATTTTGGATAAAAATGTGTTTTTGCCCCTTTTTGATAAAAATGAAAGGCTAACCCCTTATCGTTTTAAATTTCGGATAATAACGTGTTTTTGCCCCTTTTTGATAAAAATGCAAGGGTAACCCCTTACCGTTGTAAATTTTGGATAAAAATGTGTTTTTGCCTGTTTTTGATAAAAATACAAGGCTAAACCCTTACTGTTGTAAATTTTGGATAAAAAAAGGTGTTTTTGCCCCTTTTAGATAAAAATGCAAGGCTAACCCCTTACTGTTTTAAAATTTGGATAAAAATGTGTGTTTGCCCCTTTTGATAAAAATGCAAGGCTAACCCCTTACTGTTGTAAATTATGGATAAAATTGTGTTTTTGCCCCTTTTTGATAAAAATTCAAGGCTAACCCCTTACTGTTGTAAATTTTGGATAAAAAGTGTTTTTGCCTCTTGTTGATTAAAATGCAAGGTTAACCCCTTACCGTTTTAAATTTTGGATAATAACGTGTTTTTGCCCCTTTTTAATAAAAATGCAAGGCTAACCCCTTACCGTTGTAAATTTTGGATAAACATGTGTTTTTACCTTGTGCTTTGGTGCTTAAAATTCAAGAACTTGTCAGAGTCATGATGTGATTATTGAAGAAATAAAGAGAAACAAAATGGAAATAAAAGCTTTTATACCTTGTGTGTTCACTTTATTTAGCATTTGTCCAATAGCAATTGTTTAATAGCTTAAAATAAGGAAAAAGAATGATTTAATGAATATTCATCAGGAAATCAATGAATATTCATAAGGCGAAATATATAATGAGTATGAACAAATGATGATATAGCTGAAAAGTGGTTTCACCACTGAATATTCATCAGGAAATCAATGAATATTCATAAGGCGAAATATATAATGAGTATGAACAAATGATGGTATAGCTGAAAAGTGGTTTCACCACTGAATATTCATAAGGCGAAATATATAATGAGTATGAACAAATGATGGTATAGCTGAATATTCATAAGGCGAAATATATAATGAGTATGAACAAATGATGGTATAGCTGAAAAGTGGTTTCACCACTGAATATTCATAAGGCGAAATATATAATGAGTATGAACAAATGATGGTATAGCTGAATATTCATAAGGCGAAATATATAATGAGTATGAACAAATGATGGTATAGCTGAAAAGTGGTTTCACCACTGAATATTCATAAGGCGAAATATATAATGAGTATGAACAAATGATGGTATAGCTGAATATTCATAAGGCGAAATATATAATGAGTATGAACAAATGATGGTATAGCTGAAAAGTGGTTTCACCACTGAATATTCATAAGGCGAAATATATAATGAGTATGAACAAATGATGGTATAGCTGAATATTCATAAGGCGAAATATATAATGAGTATGAACAAATGATGGTATAGCTGAAAAGTGGTTTCACCACTGAATATTCATAAGGCGAAATATATAATGAGTATGAACAAATGATGGTATAGCTGAAAAGTGGTTTCACCACTGAATATTCATAAGGCGAAATATATAATGAGTATGAACAAGTGATGGTATAGCTGAAAAGTGGTTTCACCACTGAATATTCATCAGGAAATCAATGAATATTTATAAGGCGAAATATATAATGAGTACGAAAAAAATGATGATATAGTTGAAAAGTGGTTTCGGACCCAAAATTCGGACCCAAAATTCGGACCCAAAATTCGGACCCAAAATTCGGACCCAAAATTCGGACCCAAAATTCGGACCCAAAATTCGGACCCAAAATTCGGACCCAAAATTCGGACCCAAAATTCGGACCCAAAATTCGGACCCAAAATTCGGACCCAAAATTCGGACCCAAAATTCGGACCCAAAATTCGATGCATGCAGGACCTGAACCCACAACGCCTGGGTTTCCAGTCACAACTACTAACCAGTGCACTACTTGGGTCCCCCCAGTACATTTCCCTATTTTATAAGCTTAGCTCTTACATGTAGGGTCCCTAAATAAATTTCAATTAAAAAGGTTCTGCATGGGATTGAACCCACAACCATCCAATTGTGAGACACAGTGCTTCCACACTTGAAACTCTGAAACTCTCTTACAAATTCTAATGTTTCAACTTCCTGTCTATTTATTTTTTTGAAAAAAAAAAATCTACCATCCAGATTGGTCTTTCTTTTTTTTTGACAAACAAAAAAAAGCAAACAATTGTGTTTTTTGGGAGCTACAAATCAAATTGTTTGATCCAATCATAATTATTCTAATAGTGCATTGGAACTTAACAGATCATGTTTTTCAGCTGGCTACAGTTCAATTCCACACATCTCGAGAGAAGACGCATTAACAAAAACAAGTTACACTCAAAGAGTTTTATTTTTAAAATGCGATATTTAAATCCATTCTTTTTAAAGGAAGAAATTTGCATAGTTATGAAACTTGTAAAAACAAACTTCTAAACTTCATTTTTGGCTTTACTCTCTTCTTTAAATTGTGTATAGCTACATAACACCCACCGAAACTGACCTGGAGCAGCCAGGAGGATTTTAGCTGGCATTTATCCCTTTTTGGAAATCTCTTCAATTGTTATTGAAATTACTGATGACTGATTTGATTTACTGAAATAATTATAACCAACAGAACAATTCATACACAAGAGAAAAGTAAATAATAACAGGAATAATTTGTACAGAAAACCACTGCCTTGCGATGCCATGGATAGTTAGAAAGGCAGTTTCAATAATGTTACATAGTACAGACTTCATACATTGTTAATATGTACTCTGAAATTATTCTACAGTACTATTTACAGCTTTTATACAAATGTGCATACATGTAAACACAGCATTGGTAGTTAATTTTAACGGATAATTTCAATAAAATAATTTGAAATACTTCCATGTGTAGCTATGGTTGGTCATTTTTTGGTCCATAAAATATTAATCCTTCAAAACAGTGTAAGATTTAAACTGAAAACTGTCCCATTCATTATTGCTAATTTCCTGTTAACGTTTAAAGGCACATTTTGCTTGTTTCGCTGAACAAAAACAATATAATGTACATTATTGTTGATTCCTCTGACAAATGCACTTAGTTTCTAACATTAGGTGTTTTTCAACTAACCTCAAAACTTAAACATCCTTTTTTCATAAAAAAATCAAACATAATTTCAGTGTTATCCCAATTATAGTTTTCTTCTCTACACATTTCCCTTCGCATCTGGGAAATAAATATATCTCTTTTTTTTCGTTCGAACCATGAAACCACAGATACTTTATAGTTACTTATAAAACTAGAGACTTATGAAATAAATAATTTTGGAATCTGTTGAAGTCTGTGGTGTTGCATAACCATCAGAATGCACATCTATCAGCCTCATTTCAACAATATGGATGACTGTATGTTACACAATGAGTGCGTTTGATTATTTTCCCCAGCTTACTCGCGCTTGGCTCGCGTGATGACAGACATGCGCAGTGGAGCTAAATAAACGAACAGTTCCGGGTTAAGTTTTGTGCAAGGAGCTGGAAAGTTGAACTTTGACATGACACTGAGGCTGCATCCGAATCAAGTGTCTAGAGCTAGGTCTAGCTCTGCGCCCACTGAAAATAGCGGCGGGTACGCACTGACAATAGACATAGCCGTGGCTCTGGAAGCCTGTTTCGGACACGGCCTGAGGCGCCCGCCGAACATCACGTTGGCAGCCGTGTTCATTGTATGGCCTTATGGGATACTTACCCAAGTAACTGGCTCGGTGAGTCGGTTACTTGGGCCAAGCTTGAGTAAGCACGAGAAGTCATGTGAGAGGTAAATCGAATGCTGTCGTGCTTGCACGAGTAAGCGTGGGGGAAGTAATCGAACGCACTCAAATTAAGCAAAGCTTACCTGAATAACCCTTAAGCACTGAAGAAAGATCTTTTGCTGTTAATCCCTCAACCGTTTTAAAGTACAGTATGATTTTCTCTTCAAATATGAAAAGTCTTACTTTGCAGTACTTCGAGTCTGTTTCATCCCTGTGAAGCACCAGCAAGGTAGTGATGTGTACTTTGTGCGGTTCTTCTCTTGGGCCGCATAGTGCTTCTCAAGGGAGCTCTGTTCTGAGTCTGTACCATCCCTGCGAAGCACCAGCAAGGTAGTGATGTACTTGGTGCGGTCCTTCTCCTGGGCCGCATAGTGCCTCTCAAGGGAGCTCTGGTCTGAGTCTGTTCCATCCCTGTGAAGCACCAGCAAGGTAGTGATCGATGTACTTGATGCAGTCCTTCTCCTGGGCCGCATAGTGCTCCTCAATGGAGCTCTGTTCTGAGTCTCTTCCATCCCTGTGATGAAGCACCAGCAAGGTAGTGATGTGTACTTGATGCGGTCCTCCTCCTGAGCCGTACAGTGCTTCTCAAGAGAGCTCTGGTCTGAGTCTGTTCTAGCCGTGAGAAGCAGTCCTTCTCCTGGGCCGTATAGTGCTTCTCAAGGGAGCTCTGGTCTGAGTCTGTACCATCCCTGTGAAGCATCAGCAAGGTAGTGATGTACTTGATGCGGTCCTTCTCCTGAGCCGTACAGTGCTTCTCAAGAGAGCTCTGGTCCGAGTCTGTTCTAGCCGTGAGAAGCAGTCCTTCTCCTGGGCCTTATAGTGCTTCTATAGTGCTTCTCAAGAGAGCTCTCTGATGTGAAGCGAGCTGGTAGATCTGCCATCACCTGGTCAAGAAATTTGAATATTGTCAATTTGGGAAAAAATGTTTGATACTGATTGAGAGATTTACTTGTATTCATTATTAGCTATCCTGCAAATTCGAGTGGAACAAGGTTAAAAAAAAATAGGTTAACCAGTTTGCATCGGATAACGTGTATACAAACAAAGATTTTGCGGTATTCGTAGCGGATGCCAGATGAACAAGAATGATAGCTGAGTCCTATAAATACAGATGTCAAATTGGTTCAGAGAACTCTTAGAGTTTTTAAGAATAAATTATTGTTTCACTGAAGAAGAAGTGTCTTTGCTCCCTTATTAGTCCCATCCTTGTAGATAGGATAGGATGCCTAGTTATATATCTTTGATACAAACGAATCCGGGAAATATAAATTTATAGTGACTTGGCATCATTACATCTTGCAAGGTGACAAAAGAAAGTCCTGAATAGCGCACTCTACCCCACCTCACCCGGCCGCAGCATTACATGGCAAAAACAATGAAACAAGCCCATTGGTTTTACTTTAAACATGCCTTAGACCTTACTCCATATTTTTTATACAATTTCCTTAAAACATAAGTAGTGACTATCAAAGGTTATTAATATCACTCAATCTGAAAATAAAAAGAAAACAAAAATCCCCCACTTGCATTATTGTCCATTCAGCCATAAAAAAATCATTGTGCGTCAATTTTGATCTGTTAAGTCAATTTCTTTTTTTCTTTAAAATTTTCTGTAGCTACAACAGTGCCCTTTAGTGCTGCACCGCCTCAAATATTTAGCACTAAGGAGCACAAGGGCAACAAGGCAAATGATAGGGCACCAAGTCAAATGATGTAAGCCCATATGAGAACTCAAACAAACAAAGCAGTACCACTTTGCTATTTTTTCCCAAGCTTGGATGGTACAGACAAAGAATATTTTCTTAAACGCATCACTAGTTTGAATACAATTTAATACCAAATTAGTGACTCTCAACAGTATAGTTATGAACTCGCAGTCTGTTTGTTTGATAACGGAATTTTTGTTACAACTTCCACATGGTAGTAGATTAAAAGGCGACTACAAAATACTTCAGTCTTTGTTAAAAAAAAAAAAAAATAGGCGACTTGATCAAAGTTAGTTATTGTACAAGTGCGATTAGGCCTAAACCTTTTTTTTCCTGAATCTTTTTCTTAAAGTTGCTAAATGAAAGCTGTAATTGCGAACAACAAATCTGTTGGTGAACACACAATTGTGTGTTAATTTGAATTTGTTGTTAGGTTTTTCAAATAGACCTACAAACGCTGTGGTATAATAGCTGATTATGCTTCTTACCTCTTTACAAAAAATTGCTGATCCAAATGCGTTGCAGATAATGTTGGGATAATATTCTGGTTGTTTACAAGTTTTGTTCGGGTGGCTTGATTTGGTCGATCTTGTAGCTTGGATCATGTCCCTCGAGCCAGTACGTCAGGCTTTCACCTTTGCCCTGAAATAAAAGAAAGGAAAAATATAAGAGATTGGTTGAAACAGTTATCTCATCTTTCCTTTGAAATATGATGGACTTGAGAATTTGCAGCAGTGAAAATTGAAGGAAGGGTAGATCATTTGTCATTTGTGATGTTTTTCCATTTGAAGCAACAAACATGCTCAAAATCTAAAGATAAGTGCTTAACAACTATCCCAAATGAAGTTAAAGATATGTGAATGCTGTGTTTTCAGAGGAAACAATATTCTACGATCTCAATTTCTATTCAAAAGTTGCTGAGACATGTTTGTTCTCATTCAGCTGATTGAAGCTTTGCAATGTTGCACACTAAACCGCTGAATGAGTCATGTCAACGCTTGTGCACACCCATTCACAGATTAGTCTGATCACAAACCAACTACTAACGAAAACTCCCAAAAAATGTGTCATTTGACACACTATTTAGAAATGGCCTTCTTTTATTGTGTTCTTCACAATGACAACATGTAATGCCAGAGAGAATAATTTCACAGGCAGTCCGACTAGCTGTACTAAGGGTTGTTTTTCTATTTTTATAGTAATTTTCCTACTTGGGTCTCGATCCTTTGCGGCTGGACTCTGATGTTCTCATAGAGCTATATTAAAGTACTAGAGATGTACTTGTGATGTACTTGTGACTAGACTTGTGATGTACTTGTAACTAGACTTGTGATATACTTATGACTGGACTTGTGATATACTTGTGACTGGACTTGTGATTTACTTGTGACTAAACTTGTGATGTACTTGGACTCGACTTGTGATGTACTTGCCACCAGACTTGCGATGTACTTGCGAACAGACTAGTGATGTACTTGTGACTGGGCTTATGATGCACTTGTGACTAGACTTGTGATGTTCTTGTGACTGGACTTGTGATGTACCTGTGGCTGCACTTGTGACTAGACTTGTGATGTACTTGTGACTGAACTTGTGACTGGACTTGTAATGTACTTGTTACTGGAACTGTAATGTACTTGTGACTAGACTTATGATGCACTTGTGACTGGACTTGTGATGTACTTGTGACTGGACTTGTGATTTACTTGTGACTAGATTTGTGATGTACTTGTGACTGGACTTGTGATGTACTTGTGACTGTACTTATGATGTACTTGTGACTGGACTTATGATGTACTTGTGACTGGACTTGTGATGTACTTTTGCCTGGACTTGTTATGTACTTGTGATGTACTTGTGAATGAACTTGTGACTGGACTTGTGATGTACTTGTGACTGGACTTGTGACTGGACTTGTGACTGGACTTGTGATGTACTTGTGAATGGACTTGTGATGTACTTGTGACTGGACTTGTGATGTATTTGTGATTTATCAATCTTAAGTATCTTGACCACAAGCAAAGACAATGATCTTACCTGAGTGAATACCGAATTCGGGGCCTGCTTAACATGCTTAAGGGCCCCAAAAATGTTTTTGATTGTAGATGCTCTGTGGTGCGATCCGAGGCAATTTCTGACCACTTTAATTTTTTAGTTTAAACAAGGGTTTTTTGAGGAAAAGATGGTGGTGTACTCATTGCCTGCCTTTATTGTGATGTCACATAAAAAAATAAAAAAATTGTTTCGGTTTTTTTTGGGGGGGGGGGGGGGGCACGGCCCCCTTTGGCCCCCCCTGGATCCGCCCTTGCCTTTGAGAATACGATTGAAAAGTACTAAGCCCTAGGTGCATGTTTATCTAGGCTGATTATAAAGATTACGTGCACGAAAAGTAGATTGTACCTTTTTGACAACTTAAAAGCGTCAATCTCACGTCGAGCACTGGTTATTCCCGCCCGTGAAAAGGCGCGGTGGACGGTTGACGTTTTCAAAAGTGCAGATTGCGGCACGCGTTCCTGGAGTCAATCCATTCGAGAGATGATTTTGAAGGCTTGTTGTAGTTTTTATAATACTTTCCACTCGCCAAGATGGTGCAGAAGATCGATCGCTTATAACAATGCAATACTTCAGTAAATGCGATTGAAATCCTCGCCGAAGATCCTCCAGGCAGAAGTAGAAAATCCTGCCTAATTCGCGATACACAAAAAAATACAAATATTAAATGTGTCAACTGTCAACTTCAATTGCTTGTCAAAAGAGGGCGCGCTACACAAATTGTGGTCATCATTATTAAGTCGGACGCCTCATAGGGTTGCAGACCAGTAAAATAAACTTCATAAACCCCAATGGTAAATGCTCCCAATTCAGAAATTCAGGGAAAATACTCACAACCGTCCAAGGGGTTCGACACACACATCAAAATAAAGCTTATTTCATCATCTTTCTTTTTTTTTCTTCAATTTTTTGGGGGGATTTATTGATGACTTTTGGGAGAAAATTCCATCTGAAGATGATCACATTCCCCTAAAAGCAGGAAACTGCGTAATAGTCGTAGCCTTGTTGCCATTTTGTGATTCGACAATTAACGACGTTGAAGTACATGTACGGGCGCCGCATGTACATGTTCATCGTACAAGACCAGATTCTGCAGGTTTTTCTGTAAAACATTTCGTTCACATAATGATACAGATCAGAAATGAAAGAAACACTTTAGCATTTCACAAAACCCTACTGTAATCTGTATATATATCTCGATATTTAAATGAACATTGCAAGTTATGTGCAAGTGGACATTAATTTAGTACATAAAGTCTGGGATGGAAGAATTACTTCTCTCTTAAAAAACTTATTTATTCATCTATATTCATGCTTCCTTTAAAAAAATATTTTACGAATGTAAATTTATTAATTTTATGTACTATTATGCGTATTAAATTGATCCCTGCTTTTCATTTCAATCATTGTTTTAATCTTAAAATAGTTAATACGTCTTTTAAAATATCTCCTTAATAACTAAAAAGGACTGATGATGCGACCGGAAGAACTAATTACTCAACACTCCGTATTCACTTTCATGCATTTATGGGGATGCGTCTAAACGATCTCAAGATGTAATTATAGATCAGTTGGAAAATTGGAAATCTATTTTCTTTATGATGTTCATTTATGAAAACAGACCGTTTTTTATCTGAAAGTATACTGAGTACGGATCCCGGGTGCGTAAGCAGCGCGCGCTACTTGCGACTGCGCTTGCAGCTACTTGCACTGGAGATATGAAGACACCATCAAACGAACGTCGTTCATCGTCCAATCACAAAATGGCAACGAGGCTACGAATATTGCGCGTCATGAAGCCCATCGCCATTTTGAAAATGGACGTCTACGCTCCATCGCAAAATAGGGCCATTTAGGGCCTAATAATCATCAACATCATTAAACTGAAATACCAGCTCGCAGTCCTCTGCACGGCTTCCAACCTTATTGTTTACAAATCATCAAGTTCACAGCCTTCAAAATGCTCTAATACTAAAGAATTTGACGGCGTAGGCAATTTCGGACCGATTTACTGTGGTTTGCACCCATGTATTAAAATTCCCATAGACACTAGTGCTAAATGCCCATACTTCCAAATTCTTTTTAAAATACTCAGAACTCTCACAGGTATATTTAATTAAGCTGCACAGTAAACTGATAATCAACATGTCATCTTTCATTTTTATTTTCATTTTTTTGTGGGTTGACCACTGACTTATTGAGATATTTTCACCCAAAATAGACGACCAATATAAAGCGGAAAAGTAGCCATCTTGAAAAACGATCCCTTTAACAACATGGCAAAATAGCGCCACTTTCGGGCCCAATTGCATCCAAAATGCTTAGACTCGGAAGCCCCATGTCCGGGCCAGAAGTTCATTGCCATATCTCTTCAATTTCCCCGTTTTATGGCTCTGGGAATTCTCTAATAGGATATTTTGAGGGTATAACTTTTATTCATGAGCTCGGTGGATGCATTTAGGCCTATATTTACCGACCGGTGCACACCCATAGCCATTATAAGATAAAACTGCCTAATAACGAAGTCAACTTTCATGGGAGAAAAACAACATCGTCGCGTTGTGGGGCAGATGACTCAAGACATATATTAATCATTTTATCTGGTGATTGGTCGTCATAACGTACACCAAATGCTCAACATTGGAGAAGAATCGTCAAATAAAAATAATAAATTAACACGCTCGTTGTGCAACTCCAAGAATATTGGTTGAATTGATTTATTTAGTGATTGGTTATCACACGTTTTTGAAATTGGAGCGAAAATCATCATAAAAAAACGCAAATAGGGGTCAATTTTATTACACACCGAAAGCAACACTCCATCAGTATCTGTTACATCGAATTGAAATTTCGCATGTTAATTTAAAGTAACATGATTTTGTGGATCATGGAATATCGAAATAAACTTCACAAAAATGATGTACTGTGCCAGTAAAAAAAAACCTGCCTTACTCGTGTCAACCAGTTCAATTTTTATGTAAAAAGAGGGCGCGCTACACAAATTATGATCACTACCGTAAAAAAAAAAAAAAATAAGTAAAATAGGAATTATTTTGATGAAGATTAAATAAGTTAAACTTCGAAAGACTTCCATACCTGGACACTAGAAACCCTGTGCACAAACCGATAAAGTTAGACTCATCTGGATTTTTTCCCTCACTGCTTTGTGACCTTTTCCTGCTAAATTTGACTTTTTAGGACATGTTAATATCGCTGCTGCAGTGCAGGGAACATAGCGACGTCCGTCCAAGGACATGTATGGAATTCTAGCCGTAAAATTGTATCGAGGGTTAATGAATCTAAATAGGAAACAGTTCAAAATAATGTAACCAAATCAATGTAGCTATAGCGTGAACGAACACGAATGTCGAGTTGACCGCAATAAGGGTAATCTGAGTATCACCCGTTAACCACGGAGTCAAATCCTGCATAACGTCTGACATCTCATGACATGCAAATTTATGCAAGCCACGCGCCAGCCAATTGGAGTTGACTTTACTAAATCTTGACGTCATTTCATTCCCAAATTAGGATAACTAAAAACTAGTCGAAAAGGTATTTTGAAAAATGATTAACTTCAAAGGCGATTATCTCCGAATGACCTTTTTGCATGATATTGAGGTTTTTGTCACTTCGTGAAAACACCAACAATAATGTTTAAGTTTTCAAAAGTGCGGTCACTCACCAGGCTCGTCAAAGAGACTTCGCTTGGCCTGTCATGCCTGTCACCCGGGCCGGGAGGAATCAGTGCCGAGAATCTGGACGAATCGTTGGTCGGTGATGACGCATCTAGGCTGTTCCCGGAGTCAACCTCTCGAGTGATGAATTGTAGGCTTTTTGTTACTAATGCAGTTACTAATCCTCGGCGCGACGGAGGTTCAGAAAAATGTGGGCGAACGGTACTGTCGGCACAAGAAATCCTAGCGGAGTCGAGTACACGTTTGTGCCTGTATACGTGCGACATGGTAGTCTGCTTCCCAGACCAAAGATCTGACTATTTCTCACGAGTTCTAATTTTCACGAATTGATTGATAAAAGGGGGAATTTTGATCGAAATAGTACATCAGTGTACACGGCATATGTATGTCTCCATGCGGGCATTCTTCGACTCAAAAGCGCCCCCTGTTGGGTGATTCGGAATAATTTTGTTGATATAAAGCGCCACGTGTATATAAAGTAATTTCAAATTACAGGCAACAGCGCCCCCATTCCTTTGATTGGATTATTATTTGTTTTCAGATGCATGTGTAGCGCCCTCTAATGATCCATAGCGGTGGGCAACAAAAAAGCAATAGCGCCCTCTATATGTGCTGAATGAACAGGGCTAACTAAAATTGAATTTATCGTTTCGGTTTGCGGTAACACCATGTGGTAATAACTACTGCTTAGAAGATATTAGTTCTGAAAAGAACTTGTCCTGCTTATTATCAACTTTGCTAAGTAGTTTTTTTGTTCTGTTAAGAACAGTCCTGCTGTAAGTTCTAACGAACATGGTGTTACCGCAAACCGAAACGATACCGATACCCCACCATGCAAAGCCTCAAATCTTATAAAATTGAATTTAGTACAAAGATCAGGCCAAAAAAAGAAGTGTCCGGTTTCTGGTATGGAGCTTGCCCAAAAAGTGGTGCGGCGTCGTGGCTTTTTTTTTTTACCTGATTTTTTTTGCTTCAAATGTCGGCTGATGACTGCAAATGGTGCCCGACTAAACTTAGTGCAAATATATGGGAGTCTGAGAGAGGCCACACATAAAGCTTAATTATTCTCGATCATAACCCCATCTAAAAACACGTTAAAATTGTGCAGCAGCAGGATTCCAGTCAAACCAGTGAGTTTGGCGGTTTTGAGACATCATCTTTCATTGGAATTTTTTTTTTTTTCATTTTGCCGACGCGCACGGCTACGACGACGCGCGCGCATACCAGAAACCGGAGACCTTTTTTTTTGGCTTCATAGAACAAAAAGCATTGTGAACTGATTACAATTTAATTGGATGAGTTTTGAGTTTCTTTAAAAAAAGCTCAATTTAATCAACATAATACGGCACATGAGAGAAAAACAAAACACAAATTGTTTATAACCAGATATTTTTGGCTTCTTTCAACACTATTAAACATAAATTATCTAATCAGCCAAGGCTTTTTGTTTATTCATTTATATTTCTTTACTTGGTTGATTTCTTTATCCAGTGCATATGCCCAAACAGTTTAAAAAGCTGGTTTCCATTGGGGCCTAGTATATTATCTCCTAGCCAGGGAGCCAAGCCTCCTGTATATTGACTTCTGATATGTAAAGGCATGCAGATGCGATCTCGCGCCTCAGCCAATCAGAGTCAACTTTACTAAATCGTGACGTCATTTGATTCCCAAATTAGGACAGCATTTGATTGGTCAATTTGAATGCAGTGTTTTGTAATACAACAGCCGGGCGCGTATCGTGTAAATAATAATAATAATGATTTGTCTATGTCTATGATGATGTGACAATGGGTGAATGACCAAAGACCCGATATAGAAAGCGCTCGCTGATTGGTCAAAATCTTTTAATAAATAATAAGCAAAGCTGCTCAAATGTTATAGACCACTGCTTTCGCCACGATCTATTACATACACTAATTGGCCAGGGCCCTGCATATAATTACAAATGATTAAGTAATGTTCAGTTCATAGGAAAAGTGCATTGGTGAAACATACAACAAACATTAATATTTAAAAATACAAGTATTTCAGAAATAGGCCCTATTTCAGAAATAAAGATATACACAACACAAGTTCATATTAAACATTCAAGTACAAGGCACGATTTGGGCTAAAACCCAGCAAAAACAATTTGGGGGAAAAACACAGGGAAATTCCGGATCTCAGTTCTCCCAAAGTAATACTATGGCAACCAAGTACATAACCTGTAGATCAGAGCATTTTGTACCAGTTTGTTATTGGCTGAAAAATAAACTGATGGCTAGTTTCATTTGAATGTACCTAAATAAGGAATCTATAGTCCTCAGTTCATATAAATTATTCGATATATTCTCACCATGCACAGTACCACTAACAGACAAATGTGTGGCATAGCATTCCTTTTTTGCGAAAGGGACATATTCAACGTCATTTTAGTTGATTGTCTTGTTTCACGAATAGGTGCAAGTGGTGTGAAAAGATTTGTCATATGTACAAAGGAGTAATTTTGTTTAGACCTTTGAAAACAAAGTGGAGACATCACCATACATTAACAACTTGCACTTTGAGGGATACAAGATGGCCGATCACTGGTACATGTATATTATTGTTGCAGTAACGATACACAAATGTAACATGATAAATTTCTCAAGCCCTTCTATTCACATTTGTTTATTTAAGCCTACTAAATAGAGATCAAAATGTGACAAATTATGCATTTTAATAACTGCGTTCTTGGTCTTTGAACAAAAATTCATAATTACAGCCTACATCATGCAATGTTGATCACCAAATCCAACAGAAAAACTGGGCCAAAATAATGTGATACTGCAGTTGAAGAGGTTGAAGTGCTACAATGTGAAGTTAAAAATCAAGAAAACATTAGAGCCACAACCTAGAACAATATCTTCATTAAATGTAGGTTTTCCTGGCCGAATCTGTCAAATTAGCAGCCAATTTTTATGCAGTGTCATTACCTTACTTTTCCATTTGAGTCGGTACTCTAAGGCTTTTAACCACTACAAAGTTTAATTCATGAACGTTGCCCCGTCAATTGATATCAGGCAAAAAAGGTATTAAACGTATTCAAAGATTTATTTGAAGGCCGTGACATTGTTCAGTCTCAGGGCCAAGTCACACGAGGCAATATCTACAGACAGCATGGAGAGAACCAAATGCACTGCCCAAGAACGAATGTTCTTAACTGTTGAAGGAAATCTCAGAACATAACATGAAAAGAAATTGAGCTGGTCGTACAAGTTTCCTATAAATCGTGGGGTGCATCACGAAGTGACGTATCGTCTATTGACTTTGTGCACACGATTCGTCACTTTGTGGTACGACTGACAAAATGTACTGATATGACATGTATGATACTGGTCATGCAACAAAAAAATGCATTGTATACAGTAGTGTCCTACATACCAAAACGTTCTTTGCAAATACATGTATGAATGTAATGTTAGATGTCACAGTCCTATGACGTGCACTATATCAGTGCACATTTCTAGTATTATTTGAAGTACTGTAACTGATATTGAACACTAGCATTCACAATTCTGCTTCAAAGCAAAGCAAACATTATAATTATATCAAGGAGATGCTGCAATATGTTAACAGTGTTATGATTATGATCCTCATTAAACAAACAATATAATATTTTAGGCATTAGACAGTCATTCACATCAAACAAGAATTGGAGCTATTTCTAATACAGCAGCTGTAGCGATAGACAATCCAAGTTTATAATTAACTTATGAAAATTAGAATAAGGGCCAAATCCTCTTGATATTTCATTACAATTTTCAGATATTTTCTTGAGAAATAAACTGAAGATTTAGCCCTATAATTCCAAGACCTTTTTATCCAGAATGGCGGAGCAATTTAGAAGGAACCCTTTCCCATTCTATTAACGCTACAGTTTGATCAGTACTGATAATATATTGTTTCGTACAAAGGATCACTGCCATGACTGCATTCTGAAAGAACAGGTATTATATATAATGTACTTTACAACAGACCCAAACTATCTGACTAGACGACACAGAACATGCGTGAATGTATATTTTAGTATGTGATCACAGCACCCCTCGCAGGGGGTCAAGCCAGGTCAGGGGAAACTCTGACGAGACCGGATTCAAAGGCGGGGCCAATTAAGCGAGGTCTCATAGACTGGATTGAACATGTCGATGGTGGACTCTGCCATTGGCCCACCCATCGGCCCGCCCACAGCAGCATAACAATTGTCATCACTGGCGTTGTCAGGCCGATCCTTGGAGCACTGGCAAGGGGGCTGGGAGGGCGAGATAGTCATCTGGTGAGACTGGGTCCTCGTCCTCTGACCCCTGACCTTTATGATGAGGATGATGATGACAATAATGAAGAGGACTGAAGCAGCAGGAATGGCAATCACTGTGATCATGAGTCCATTTGCCAGGCCTAAAATAATAACATGTAATATGTTATAAATTATATTTTTAGCTTGGCATTTTTAACTTGAAAACGCATTGTGGAAGTTTTCATTGTCGTTAGACTCATCAGACGCAGAATTTCGACAAAGGGGTTTGATGACTTATGACAACATGGATCATAAGGAACATATATAGGAACATTGGTATCTGCCTGAAAACTATTTAATGAGAAAAACCTTGCCTAGTTCCAAATAAAAGTACATATTTTTTTAAAGGCACATTTTTTCAAATTTGATATTTGTGAAGAACTGTGGAGATTAACCATCCAGTGTGACTCTGGCATCATGTACACCAACCAGAGTGCTTAAATTTATATTTAGAGATTTCATCAAAAGACGAGATGGTGCAATTCAAAATAATACGGCAACTTTTGAATCAGATGTGCTAGCAATGGAATCCACATTTGAGACCGTAGAATTTCTTTATATCCACTGATCTTTCTTTACATCCTCTGATCTTTCTTTACATCCTCTGATCTTTCTTTGTATCCACTGATCTTTTTTTTGTATCCACTGATCATAAACAGGTTAATTGTTATCAGGTTAATAATGCACCTTACTCAAAAAGCTACTGATCCTCTGTATTTGTAACTACCATGTGAAGTGCCGCATTTCATTTGCACTTTCTGTTACTGCACTATGCATATCAATACTAAGAGAGGGTACAGACGAAACTTACCTTGCCCCTGTTTGGTTGAGATAAGTAGGCCCTTTTGCTGGTTGCACTCAACTCCCGACCGCCCCTTTTCACACTTGTCGTCTTGACTCCACCCACTGTTTTTACAAGACATGATTTTGCTCTCCATCCCAGAGCACATAGGTTGCCTCAGTGTGGGAAAGGCACTGTCCTCATTCCCGAAATCTGGCAAAAGAATTATAAAGAGTCCATGAAGTCAATATTTTTAGGAACATATTTTGTGCAACTTTATATTCCTCTTAAATGTATAAAAACAAATGGATATCCCTTTTTGGTTAATTTTATTGAAAAGTGCAATTCTTTAAATATAAAAAAAATCCATGCTTTTCCGGACAGCTGAGGGCGCTGTTGCTAAGATGATGTAATTTTAACTAGGAAGACACTGTTCAGTTTACGGGTTTTCTGATAAGATCGTGTACAAAAAAACTTGCTTATTGAAAATATTTATGAGAAAAGTGTTCTCATTGGCTTATTGTCATGTTCTGACACAACAATGAATCACCAAAGAAAAGAACAATTATAAAGCGAAATATCCAAAATTCTGGCAACTTTTAGTGCTAAAATAGCTGTAACATTGAGGTTTCGTACTTTTTGCCCAAGAACATGGCGTTAAATGGGACACAAAGGTGCATTTCCAAGGACTGCATTAAAAAAATAACACTGCATGGGCCCTTTAACTTCAATAATACAGGTCCTCATCAGGAATACTTTAATCAATACACAGACGCCAATAATCATTATCTTCAAGCAAACTTGATTCCTCGATCCTGATTGGTCGATCCATGGCAACAAGCTGTGCTACATATAACCATACCGCACGGCCACAGTTCATACCGCACTCCGCGTATTGCGCTATTCTAAGCCTACATGACGCGATTAGTGCTGCACAATTCACTGTGAATTCAAAAGTTGCGCGTAGGTAACAGCATGCATGTTCCAACTTTACTGCGCGTCAAGTTTGCTTGAAGATAAATTCGTTATCACGCTCGCGCTCGTGGAACACGGAAAATGTAGTGCGTCTGTGTCCCACATACCACTCGGCCTTCGGCCTTGTGGTATGTGGGACACAGACGCACTACATTATTCCGTGTTCCACTCACGCTCGCAAGATAACTAATAATATTGGAATGAAATAGCAATAATATCCCGCGAGCGCTAGTGGAACACGGAATAATGTAGTGCGTCTGTGTCCCATTCAGCCTCGTGGTATATGGGACGCTCGTGGCTGTACATTGTACTCTTAGTAATAATATCACACTGTTGTTGCCATGGATCGACCAATCAGGATTGAAGATTCAAGTTTGCTTTTAATAAGACAATTATTAAAACTGCTATCGGCTCTTTTTTTTGTGGGGGGGGGGGTTAGGGGGACATATATTTATTTGAAGAGTACCATATTGTGAAGACCTAATTTAATAAAACGATAACATTAAAAGAGAACAAATGTAAATGTCAATAAGTAAATTTGAAAAACTGTTTCTTTTCTTTTTTATTAATACATAGTTTTACTTTAAATCAGGTGGTCTTTGGTATGCCTTCAGTTGGTACAAAATGGTTTTTGACACAATGCTCTATATAGATGCACAATATGACTAAAAGTTTCACACGTCCATTTTCTTGCATGGCAGTTTTTACAATCTTACATATGGGTCTCTCAATTTAATGCTAAGTCCCCCAATTTTCAGACTCATATTTACCACGTGGGTTTTGGCTCTGGTAGACTGATTTGGCACCAGAGTAGCCCAGTTGACGGCAGACAACCTCCCCGTCACTCAGCTGCCAATCAGTGTCACAGACGGCACCCCACACTCCCTCTAGAAGGATCTGCACCTCCCCCTTGAACAACGGCTCACTGCCAGCCAGCTTGACGTCACCATCTTGCAAAAATAAAAACAGAAAAAGAACAAACATTGAATAGGCCGATAAATGTCCTCTGCACTATTGGTAGCACTTTCTATGAATAAGCCAAACTATAAAACTCCATGCAGGAACTGTGCAGGGCACCGTGTGGTCTGCACTTATGAGAGCCAGTCACAGGCCACACTGCATGTATACATGGGTTTGCTGAGGCAATGAACCACCAAAGTAAATATAGAATAACAGAATATAGAATAGAAGGCCCCCCCCACCCCAACCAATCATGTTTGTTGGCAAATTCGTGTGTCTGTCGGCAAACACAGCACGACGAATAGTGCCACCTGTTGTCTGACAGTCTTGAAGATCATCCTGTTTGAACAGCATCCTCCAATGTCATATGGCGTCCAGCCACCTCCCCTTTGACAGATTGAACAGAAACAAAATTGAGACTAGCTTTCAAAGCATGGATGGCCTCTTGGCAATTTGATGTCACACACATCCGTTCACAATGCTCTGGAGACACTCTAGGGGCCGATTTCACAAAGGCTAAGACGCAAACGCATCTTAGGAAGGGTGATTTGTATTAACTTGTGACTTGTCCGAGGACAGATTTCACCAAACGTAGGATGTGTTCAACACATCCTAAATTCCCAAGCAACACGGCTGAACTCGTCTTAACTTAAAATCAGTCTGAGGGTCGTCTTCTCTCATTAATGCATGTGTTAATTTGTATATTGTCTGGAAATCATTGCTGTTAAAGACAAGTGTCAGCTTAGAGTTATGGTTTTGAGGAAGAAAACCGGTGAAGAAACAGATTTTAAAAATGTCTGATGCGTCAAGAGTTTTAATAAAAATAGCTTATTAGCAATTTTAATTTCACATCATAATTTTACACCTAGTAGAATTTGTAAAATAGAGTGATAAAACCGGGAGCAAGAATGAATCTATGTATCTTTCGTAGAACTACCATGCGTGTGAAATTTATTGTTCTATGTGCAGGTTGGTTTTGGGCATTTTGTTTCAACAACCATTTCATCAAGCGGTAGAAGCAAACATGAGACAGTCATCAAATTGGTGGTTTTGCTTATAACTATAACTATAACTTACAACATTTATAATGCGCTTTCCACCATGTTTCAAAGCGCACAGTAGTTTCTTGTACAATTATCAATTTACTGATTAAAGGCTTGTGAAAAAAGAAAGCTCTTAAGTACTGTCTTAAACGAGTCCAATGAATCAGTTTCACGGATGTGGATGGGAAGAGAGTTCCAGAGTTTCGGGGCTAGCACAGAGAAGGCACGGTCGCCATAGCGGGTTTTGGTTTTAGGTCCAGGCAGTAACTGAAGATGGGCTGTAGAATGCGATCGGAGGTGGCGGGATTGGGTTGTCGATAGTGAAGCCAAGATCTCGGACACACTCCGCTGTATGGTCAAGATTACTGGCCAAGATCTCGGACACACTCCGCTGTATGGTCAAGATTACTGGCCAGATCCAGAGGTGGGAGGACACCAGGATGTGGATGCTTAAGATGGGTTTAGTGAAATCAATCTTAGGACGCGTCTTAGCTAAGATTGATCTTAGAGCGGGGACTCATCTGAAGTCCTAAGAAAACTCTTGCCCAGTACAAACTAAAAGTAGGAGATTTTTTAAAGGCATCCGTTTTTGAAATTTGCTATTTGTGAGGAACTGTGAAGATTAACGAGGCTTGTGAAATTGGCCCCTTTGTTTTTAAAGTTACATTTTTATCAATTCCTGGGAACCACCCTACCCTTTGGCTAAGCTTCCTTCTTTCCCTCCCATATCCCCCTGCCCCCATTTCCCTTATTCCCAAATGCTTCTCTCACCAGATCTGTGCTTCAGGCACTGCACAATGACATCACTGCCAGCGCTGGCGTCATGACAACTACTTCCCTGTACAACCTCCACTTTGCAGTCCTTGAGCTGCACCTCGGATCCAGTACAAGAGACCTGAAGGTGAATGCAAGCAATCATGAAGATCAGGCGGCTGTAGATGATAGGCTGTTTGTATTCATTCAGGCAATAAACTCTAGTCAATAAGAATAGAACATCATCAAAACGAACAAGTCAGAGTTGTAACGAGTCACTGAAGTTTGTGACTCAAGTCGAGTCGAGTCACATTCGAATCACAGTGTGTGGTCGGGTCGAGTCAAGTCAAGTCAAGTCAAATTTATGTTCGAGTCAATTGAGTCACTGATATGTTCACACCATCTAATAAATAACAGAGTAGAAGAAAGACCACAAAACATGCATGGGGATCAAAAGACTTAAAGTATGCTGCATGGTACCCAATAGACAGTTTCTGCTGTTTCTACCAAAGATGTACGTAAGTTAACAAGAAGCGAAAGTGTGGTTTTGTTTCTGGTTTTGCTTCGGGTCTGGAAAAAAACCAAAATGCAACATACAAGACTGTTTGTGATTATATACAAATATATCCAATCCTTTTTGAAAACAGCACAAAAATTTACCCGGAGTTCATCAAGGGCTTAAAAAATCACCTGGAGCCAATGACGAAACCAAGAATTGGGAAATGCATTTAAAGTCTGGTTCTGGGATAGTGTGCACTACATTATAAAACCACAAAGTGGGAGTCTTTGATACGGCGTATATTTGTATGCGATAAGCGGCCACAACTCAACGACAGTAATGAAAAGCACGCGAACATAAATATCTTGGTAATATTAGTCACCGCAAAGGTATTTTCACACAGTTTTGGGACTCAAGTGTTATTACCCTTCAAATTGAGTCAAGTCTAGTCTTCTGAGGAGGGACTTGCGCCGAGTCAAGTCATTGCTCGCATTGCCTTGAGTTGAGTCAAGCCAGTTACCCGTTTGGACTTGAGTCAAGTCAAGTAGCGAAAAAATTGAGATTCAGTCAGACTCGAGTCGAGTCATTGACTTAGTCATAACAACTCTGGCACAAATTTGAAACTATATCATAAGACTGTTTTAATATCTCTTCAATTTATTTCTGTTTTTTTTTTTTCAGATCAAAAATAAAATCATGCCATCTTAACTCGAAAACCCCCCCAAAACATTAAAATTTCATACCCGATTAATAATGCTTGATCCTTGCCCATTGCTGTTAACTCCAGCGATGTTAGTGTTAATGGCAGAGCTGAATCCAAGCTGCCTGCAGACCATATTGGCCCCAGTCATATCCCATCCTGGGTTGCACACCGGCAGCCACTCGCCATCCACAAACATCTCCAGTCGCCCCTCAGAGTCAGGTGAATTACCAAGGCTAACAAGACGTACAGAACCTATACAAAGAGTATACAAAAATATCATCCAAAAGGTATGTTAAAATGAATGGTCTGTACTACGCTTCCTTGAGAAATCCAGAATATACCAGAGTGTGCTTTAGCAGTTTGGGGCGGTGTATTAGGGCACTATTGAGATGTACAGACTAATGAGTAACTGAACTTCTACTTCAATGCATCAGCCCATGCAGCTAATTTTTCCCCCATGTGAATCTATTTTGTCTCTTTGTTTAAGCAAAATCGTCCAAAGCAAAGCTATAAAGCTACTCTTGGAAAACGGCTAGAAAGAAGACAATTATGACGAAATAAATCAGGAAAGCTGGAGGTAGGAATTGATATTCCTCTTCAAACAGGCTAGATCATAGAATGCAGGGAAACATGCACTAGGCAAGGAGTTCCTACGACATACATAACGTGGGAAAAAGCTACTAGAGTGTAGTTCACTGTCCTACATCTCGGCACAGCTAGAGTGTATGGGTGAGAGGAAGCAGAGAGCCTGGTTGCACGCTCACACACCCTGACAGGAGGAACCAAGTCACACAAACTGGTGGAACAATGTCCATGGAATTATCTGTAGAACAGACTGAGGGTGGCTACTGACCTACGGTGGGAAAGGGTTGTAATGATCAACCCAACTCCTCACCAACCTAATTAAGGATTCGCTTCTGCACCCGATCTAGTAGAGATAAATGGCAGACAGAAGCTCTGATGTATACTTAGGCCAAAAAAAAAAGTCTCTGGTTTCTGGTATGGAGCTTGTCCAAAAAGTGGTGCGGCGACGCGGCTTTTTTTTTTTAACCCAACTTTTTCGCTTCAAATGTCGGCTGATGACTGCAAATGGTGCCCGACTAAACTTAGTGCAAATATATGGGAGTCCAGAGAGGCCACATAAAGCTTATTCTCGATCATAACCCCAGCTAAAAACACGTTGAAATTGCGCAGCAGCAGAATTCCAGTCAAACCAGTGAGTTTGGCGGTTTTGAGACATCATCTTTCATTGAAAAAAAAACTTTTTCATTTTGCTGACGCGCATGGCTACGGCGACGCGTGCGCATACCAGAAACCGGAGACTTTTTTTTTTTGGCCTTATCTTATGTAAATTTTTGTACAAAATACGGATGTAAAAACTTTTGGAATCCAAAGACATCTCTAACCACAACTGTCCCTACTGGAAGTTAAAAAAAAGATGTCAAGAACAGATTTCTTTACCAGGTCTTTGGCACACCACTCCGACATCATCATCATGGGTGCAGTTGTGCTGCTTCCAGTGCCGCCTTGGGCAACTTATAAGGGATGTCTCGGTACCAGTGCAGCTCACCTCATTCATCAGGATGGGGCCCTGCCCCCCGGCATACTTGGACTGGTACAGGACCGGATCCGCCGAGCCAAAGCCCAACTGACGACAGACGACCTGAGCATTTTGGAGGTCCCACTGGTCATTGCAGACTGTTCCCCATTGGCCCCTATAGTGCACCTCCAGACGCCCGTTTGAGGGCGCTGTTCCTCCAGCCAGACGTAACGCACCATATTCTGCAGGCAAATTATCTGCCAAAAAAAGGGAAAATAGTTGAGCAGAGACCAAAATTGCACATAAAAAAAATTTGAAAATGTAAAAGCTCTAAAGCAAAGACAATTACTGGCAACACAATACACTATCAACAGGGGAGGATCATGGATTTTCCGGGGGGGGGGGGGGGGGGGGCGTGAAATGTACCAAGCAGCAAATGGTGAAGTCAAGTAAGGCACCTACGCCAAAGGCATGCCCGCCCACCTTGCTTGAGGGGTCTGGGCACATTTTATACAGCGTAATGTTGTCTCTCCTTCTTTTTTCTTCTCTTTTTGAGTCTCTTTCCCTCTAGTGCTGCAACTGATCTTCAAAGTTCGGTTCGATTCGGTTCGGTTGCGGTTCGATTTTTTCTCTCCAAACTTCGGTTTGGTTCGGCTTCGGAAGTGCATACATAATGTACATGTCCATATGACATGTATTGGGCTACAATGAACAAACACGTGCGTACCGCGCACGTCTGACAGAAATAAGCACCGCAATTTCCACATGCTATTCAACCCAAGTTGAAGGCTGAATCTTATTTTTGTTGTGTAAACAAAATTCCGTAATAATTTGACTTGATGACGTTGAAAAATGTTACTTATATCACAGCCCTATCCGGCCCGGCAACTAAGGGCTAGGGCCTGGGGCCCTACGCTACACGATCGCCATAAAATGTTCCCACATGTTCTGACAGTTTTCCTGACGAGTTCCGTCCCATCCGTGCATGCACTGATGAGCACTAAAAACTTGCTGCATGGCAATAATTGCTGATTAGTTTTGTTCTAAGAACAAACAGGTCCTTTTACTGTGGCAAACTTATGAAATCATGATTAATTTTAGCAACAAGCTGACAAGTAGCTACCGTAAAAAAAAATAACTTTTTGTTTCGCGACTCCATGATGAATTCTCATTCAGCTGTGAGGTGGAAAAGTGTGGACCAATCCATTTTGAAAAGGGGTGTTTTACCCTCTTTTGGGCGATTACATCGTGTTTCGTATTCATTCTTTACGAAAAAAAAAAATATTGCGAAAATTACGAACTTATTCTGAACTTGAGATAGGTTTCAGACTCCATAAAAACTATTTTTTTATTTCTGATACGGTGAAAAAAATGAAAATGCTGGTGAATTTTGCCGAGGAAAGCACACCCTTCACCGCAATTGGTTTGGTCCAAACGTACTACGTCACGCTGGAACACGGCGCAGCATTATGCAGGGCATGATACTGAGACCACGCACGCTGGATGAATGCAAAGAGCATCGCTTTTCATTGAGAAAATCGCAAGGCGCGTACAATTTTTTCAAAGCGTATCAGCCTGATATCTTATTTGTTTGCGGTGACTTGTCAACACGGTAAATTCAATCACCTGTGCGTTTTATTTTTGCCCTTTCATTGCAAGCATTAGCATTCCTAGCGCTATCAACAAATACTTGCTGAACTTTCCGAACCGACATTTGGGTTCGGTTCGGTTCGGTTCGGTTCGGGTTTGGTTCGGAAGGCCAAGTTCGGCTATTTTTAGTTCAGTTCGGCAGTTCGGCTGCAGCACTATTTCCCTCTCTATATCTTTTTTTTTCAGAAGGAAAGGCCCCTCTCCCCTTCGGAACTGCCCCTGATCTATACACATAAGCAAGAGACTAAAAACATATCAAATGGAATAACACCTACAGAAGTAAAATGAAATTAAAAAGTAATCACAAAACGGCAAACACCAACATCGATTAAAAAAAGATGAAAAGCAACACAAGACAAAAAATGAACACCTCGAACCCTCACCCCACCCACAGTCCACCAAAAATCCATAAAAGGCCAACTTGAACAGGTCAGTTTTCAACAGTGCCTTACAAGTGGCCACACTGCTAGCTCTTCTAATTTGTATAGGAAAAGCATTCTAGAGTTTAGGGGTAGCAGTAACAAAGGCACGATCCCCAAGAGTAACTTTGGTACGGTGAAAATGGTAGTCCAAAAGAGTGTTGTGATAAGAACTGCGAAGACTGAAAGGTGAAGAGGTTTTTTTTTACAAGTTGAATAAGGTAAACTGGAGCTAAACCATAAAAACATTTGTAGGTCAACAATAATATTTCAAAATTCACAGGAAGCCAATCGTTTTTTACCTGAGACAATGCTGCCTTGTGTAGATGTCGGCACGATGCATACAACGCCAGCGTCTTCAGAATGATTGCAGTTGTGGTCCTCTTTGTAGCGGCACTCGTACAAATTGCTCTCCTCACCCGAGCATTCCACCTCGTCCAGTAGTATCCGTCTCTCTCCCATTCCAAATCCGGCTTCCTGTGAATTCAGTGCAGCTTCGGCTGACGTGAAGCCCAGTTGCCGGCAGACAACTGATGCAGCGTTGATATCCCATGAGTCATCACAGACGGTGCCCCATGAGCCTCTGTAGTAGACTTCCACACGCCCTTCATGGGCGGAGCTACCCCCCTCCAGACGCACACTCCCATCTGAAAATGGCACAATTCCAAGAAATAATTGGTGTGACAACAGAATGCGTTATCTTTTCTCCAAATCATTATGTCCGACCAATGTGCAAACTGAAGCACCACACTACTATACGCTATGCGCTGAGCTCCGACAGAAAGAGCTACAAACCATAATAATACAATGACACAAGAAATACACCAACAGTCAGGGAAAAGAATGAACACACAGGGAGACCAAGGAAACCTTTAGGAAGAACATCTCAGTATTGGGCACACATCAGAAATATACTGCAGACTAGGATGGGAGATTTGAGCACAAACAAATAGTAAATGTCTAGCTGTATTTGCAAGTTTGCTCACACACAAGAAAAGATCAACACACAGCCATCACTGCTTGACCATAAAAAAAAAAAACACTAACAATTTACAAACAGAATTCATTAATCACACTATAATAAACAAGCCTCCAATATGTGCTGCAGTGAGGTTCACTGCATGATCCTCTCAAGTCCATTCACAAGTCACTCACATTGAGTCCTCCAATCCCAAGTCAAGTCACATGCCTTTCAAATTGCCTTCTACATTCATTCCTACTTTTGACCAGACTTGTGAACTAACTATTATTTACTTGTGACTGGACTGCTTACTTGTGGCGGATTAAATTTGTGATAAACTCAAACACAACACTACCTATAATGCAAAGGTCCACAAAAAGAGTTCCATATATTTTTCAAATTTGTGTGTCCCCCCCCCCCCCCCCGATGTCACATGCAGCAAATAGCAGCACATCAAACTATTGTTAAAATAAGAGACTGAAGCCTGTTCTTATAAGACATTAAAGAATTAACAGATGAACAAAACCCAACATTCCAATCTTGAAATATCCATTTCTGAAACAATCAAAGTCAAAGTTACCTGGTACCCCTGAAACCTCTGGCGCAGCAGATGCTGATGAAGAACAGATGACTCCTACATCTTCCGAGTGTTCACAGTTATGCACAGTCCATCCTGCATGGGAACAATCTGCCAGAGTACTTTCTTCTCCGTAGCACCCGAGATTGTCCAGGAGAATTGGTCCACTACCCATGGCAAATTTAGTAACAGCAGATACAACTCCAACTGCAGATGGAAAACCAAGCTGATGACAGATGACAGTAGCATCTTGGATATCAAAAGCATCATCACAGACAGTTCCCCAGTTACCCTGATAGAAGACCTCCACACGTCCCTCAGAAGATGAGCTTCCATCAACTAAGCGCACACTGCCATCTGCGAACAACAGAATGATACAAGAGCAAGTGCTCAAAAATAGTACCAAAATATTCAGATGATTTTTAATAGTGATCATAATGTCCAATTATATAAATAAAACAAATTTTAAAAGTTAAAAAATTTATAAAAAATCAGTTGTTGACGTCATAATGACGTCATTTTGGAATCTGCAAACTAATAACATTATCTAACTACCCACCAAGTTCAATGACGTTCGGACCTTCCCTTGTATGTGTTCAAAAATTGCTGTAATGATGACGTCGTGAAGACATCACATATTTTACAAAAGTTTGTGCATGTATCTGTTACTAACAAACCTAAACAAAAAGAAATGTTCTGTTCATGAGAATAGCATGTTCTGTTCTTTAACACTCAAAATTTCAAAAACCCATAATAAATTTCATGACGATGTTATCACAACTACACCTCAATTTGTATACATGTACATCCCTGTCTGTGTACATGTACATGGTCTCCACCAAATCTGACTTGTACACAATGTAGTTCTCTAGATAAAGGCCACTGAACAATGCACCTGTAAGATGACGTCATATATGTATGACCCATGATGACATATTGCTGATGTCATTTTTCTACATATGTCTTACCTCTTTAGGTCTTAGTCTATAGATGTTAAGTTTCGTTGGGATATGACTTTGTTAAAAGTGCTGGGCTGAATAAAAAAATGTACAAACTCTATGGGATTTGAAAACGAAACAAAAGTAAGGGAAAAAAATCAGAACAAAAACAAAGCCTTTTCTGCAACTATGCGGAAAAGCCAATAATCACAAAAAGATGGCAAAAAGACAAAAAAATAAATAAACACCTAATTACCTGGAATCCCTGCAATCTCTGGGTCTGCAGTTGTTGTAGAGCAGATGACTCCAGCATCTTCTGAGTGGCCGCAGTTGTTATCATTCCAACCTCGATGAGAACAATCAGCCAATGTACTTTCATCTCCAGAACACTCAACATCATCCAGGAAGATGGGCCCTTCACCAACGGGGAATTCATCAGCAGCAGACAAGGCTCTGATGGCACTTGGGAAGCCCAGTTGACGACAGACTACAGTGGCATCATCGATATCCCACAAGTCATCACAGACAGTCCCCCACTGGCCTCGGTAGTAGACCTCAACACGCCCTTCATGTGACGAGTCTCCACCAACCAATCGAACACTGCCATCTGAAAAGAGGGCAAATGTACACAATTCATAAACATGTTTACAAGTTTATAACATGTAGGTGTACGACATATAATTATTGTTACATCATGTCTTGGTTACTGTGATTTTGCTGGTCTATATCGACCACATATCCAGTATATAGAAACAAGTGTTTAATTCACATCATTACATTGCATATAAATTACCTCATATACACCAGGCTACATAATTAAATCACCTCACTTACACCGGGATGCATATAATTTATCTTGTGTACACCGCACTTTACAAGCATTACTATTAACTCACATGCACTAGATTGCATACATGGAACATTTGTGAAGGGTGCATGGGTAGAAAACGCAACATCTCAATCTTGTGTCTGACAGGAAATCAAATAACAACCTTCATCTTTTTGACTTATTGATATGCGATCATTTGTTGACCGCTGTGATGTGGGATGTGCCTTGTTTAACCCTCTTGGGGTTAAATCTGCATCTCAGCACACTTGACTTTGTCTGAGGAGTGCTTTGCGCCCCTCAGGCATCAAAATCGTCATATCCTACATCATAACAGTCAACAAATGTGAAATATAACATGACATGCCTTCAAATACATCAGGGCCTTCTGTAGCCATGACCAGGGGTACACAGAAGACTCCAGCATCTTCTGAGTGGGCGCAGTTATCCCAGTCAAGGTGACGACAGTCCGCTAGTGTAGCTTCATCTCCTACACATTCAACGTCATCAAAGAAAATTGGACCATCACCAATGGTGAATTCGTCTTCAGCTGACACAGCTCTCAAAGCACTTGGGAAGCCCAGTTGACGACAGACTACAGTGGCATCCTGGATATCCCACAAGTCATCGCAGACGGTCCCCCACTGGCCTCGGTAGTAGACCTCCACACGCCCTTCAGACGGAGAGTTGCCATCAACCAATCGAACACTGCCATCTGACAGAGTAATAAAAACATCAGTTTGTATGGACAAGAGAATCATAAATCCTTATTTGTCTTTACTATTATTTCAACCCATTGTCCGATCTAAATCTTGTTTCTAAAGTTTTCTAAGTCCTTGTTACATATTTCAATTTCAATAGATTCTAACGAAACACAGACCCGCCCCTAACTCTTGATGCACAACCTGTGACATTTCTTCACATTTTGTTGGCACAAGTTCTGTATGAGGTTCAGTTTCTTCGTTGCCTGTTGACCGCACACCTCGAGAACAACTTGTGGGTGGGCCGTCACCGCATTATGGGGAAGTTTTTTTATTGTTAGGGAAATTAGGACTGAGTTTTTGGGACTTTCTGCTGTCCCCATAGCAACAAGTGTGTAGTCCCCACAGTTACAGAACAAGAAAGCTTACATAGGCATAGAAGTGGGGTACTTCCTTGGTTCTCATGTAATAAAATTTTGCAACGTCACACACTTATGTCAAAATGCTCTTATTTTTTACCATAGTTAATTTCCTGGGCTGAAATTCAGACTTAATATCCCTTTTCTAAAACTTTTCCATTTGCAACGATCAACCCACCTTGGAAATTCCTACTTTTTGAGTAAAATCCATATATCTATTTCTTGAAAAACTTGTGGGGTACCAAAACGGTACCCCGCAAGTCGGTGGGCATTCCTTGTGGGGTACCTCCCATTGTTCCGGTACCCCATAAGGCAGAGTTTGTACACGTACACATTTTTGTTCAGTAGAGCCCAGTTCATACATGTACTTCACGTGAAAGCGAAATTCGTGACGTCAACAATACATTTGAAGCGCGTCCGCCATTGTTGACGACATGAATTTCGCTTCGCACAAGCTTTCGCGTGAAGTATGAACCGGGCTTAACTGTAGGGCCTAAACATGTGTTGTCCCTATGGGGACAGTAGAAATCACTATAGCAGAAAAGTCCCCATAACTTCGGTTCTAATTTCCTTAACAATAACAAACTTCCCCATTACGCAGTGAACACTCTTTCAAACCAAATTCTTTGTCATGATTTCCTTGAGTGTTCCTCTTCATTATTTGCAACTGCTAACCCTAACCCTAAAATGCCTCTGAACACATTTTTCAGAGAGGGGGAACCTAATTGTGAGGATGTGGGCAAGCTGATCTATACAACGTCTTTGCTACCTGGTTTATGTGGACCTCTTTCGTTTTAATGTCCACACAGTGAATGCAATCACATACACCCTTTCCTCTTTATAGTATAGCAGTGATTTTGGTGAAAAGCCACGTTACCTGGCATTTCTGAGCCCTCGGTCACAGTTGCTGATGTAGAACAGATGACCCCTACATCTTCCAAGTGGCTACAGTCATGTGCAGTCCATCCTGTGTGGGAACAATCTGCCAGAGTACTTTCATCTCCGTAACATCCGAGATTGTCCAGGAGAATTGGTCCACTGCCGATGGCAAATTCAGAAAAAGCAGATACAACTCCCACTGCCGATGGAAAACCAAGCTGATGACAGATGACAGTAGCATCTTGGATATCAAAAGCATCATCACAGACAGTTCCCCAGTTACCCTGATAGAAGACCTCAACACGTCCCTCAGAAGATGAGCTTCCATCAACTAAGCGAACCCTGCCATCTACACACAACATAACAAAAGCAACATTTGTACATGAGAGAAACCACTATTTCCAATCTCATAATCCCTGTCCGAAAATAATCAAAGATACTAAGAGGTGAAAAGCCAAAATACCTGGTATCCCTGAAACCTCTGGCGCAGCAGTTGCTGATGTAGAACAGACGACTCCTACATCTTCTGAGTGTTCACAGTTACTCCATCTTGCATGGGAACAATCTGCCAGTGTACTTTCATCTCCTGAGCACTCGAGATCGTCAAGGAGAATTGCTCCACTGCCCATGGAAAATTCAGTGGCAGCAGATACAGCTCTCAGTGCAGATGGGAAACCGAGTTGGTGACAAATGACGGTAGCATCTTGGATATCGAATAAGTCATCGCAGACGGTCCCCCACTCCCCTTGGAAGTAGACCTCAACACGTCCCTCTGCAGACGAACTCCCGTTCATCAATCGAACACTGCCATCTGGAAAAACATTAAACTGAATTGAACTATCAACATACAAATTTAAATATGTGGAGCTGCAGATCTATAAAGGGACATACACACTTAAGCAGGAATCTCCTAGAAAAACATTGCACCAACCTGAGACTGGAGTATGGTTGGAGCATATCACACCTGCATCTTCGTCATGTTCACAATTATGGTTTGCCCATCCTCGGTGCCCACACTGTGCTAGATTTGGCTCGCCTCCTAGGCAAGACAAATCGTCTAGGAAAATGGGCCCATCTCCAATAGAGAACTCGGCAGCTGCAGATACAGCCCTCTCAGCACCTGGGTAGCCCAGTTGACGGCAGACGACGGTAGCGTCTTGGATATCCCAAGAGTCATCACAGACTGTGCCCCATTCTCCGTTGAAGATCTCCACACGCCCTTGATATGGGTAGAGTCCATCAGCTAAACGGACATCCCCTGGGGAATAATAATGTTCAATGTGGGATTGTATTAAGACAAGATGAGCTATTACACTATTGAATGATTCATGCTTAGTGAATCTGAGAGAAAAAACCCACTGAAGTGCTACATATATCACTGGCCATTGGTACTGTATTAAGAATATGGCCATTGTGAAGTTTAGTACCCCATTCCTAAAAGAGAACAAAATCCACCTTAAACCTTTTGGAATCACCTAAGTACATTGTAGATGACATGACATTGTGTTAAATATCTGCAGGATTATTTATTAATATGTTGGAAAGAGGCAGGGTTTTGAGTTTTGAGGAAATCATAGGGTAACAACCATGTGCAGTGACAATGGCCCACTGAAAACAAGCATGGTGACAGTTGTGTAGATGTATACTGTGGATTCGCACGGTAGCTACTGGAATATCATGCAAGAAGGTCACATTTTCTCCCAAAATACAGTTAAACATTTTTTAAAATGGAGTTAATTTAATCAAAAGAAGATTGCCCGAGGTTGCAATAGGGAATGTACAACATTTGCTTTTGGTGAAAGTTTCAGAAATAAATGGATTTGGAGGATTAGTACAAAACGGAGCAATTTATAGACTTTACCGAGTGATTTTTTCCAACTTTCACTCGGGAGGTACCACACTGAGTATACAGTGTTTAAAAAAACGTCGGTGAAGGGCAAAACCTAATTTGATTTATATCACCCCCGACGCAAAATTCCATCTTATAATAGTTTATGCGGTACCCGCTGCTATGTACATCAGATTCGAACTGGCCAACCGACCCCGTTAGCTCGGTGGTGGAGTAGTAAGACATCTGCACTAGAAAGCAGGAGGTCGTGGGTTCGAGTCCCACCTGAGTGATTTTTTCCAACTTTCACTCGGGAGGTAACACACCGAGTATACAGTGTTTAAAAAAACGTCGGTGAAAAAGGGCAAAACCTAATTTGATTTATATCACCCCGACGCAAATTCCATCTTATAACAATTTATAGACCTTGGGAATTTGAAGGTCAACTCAAAGAATCAGTCTAGCAGGCTTGTACCCTTCACAAGTAATCAACTGCACAGAAAAGGTGGAAAACTAAATATGAAAAAAATAGGAGCAGTTCTGGGAAAAAAAACAAGTACCGGGGTATTGTCCAATGCTGGTCGGCTGACCAGCATTGAGAAAATACAGGTTTTCTTGAAAATGTCAGCACACGAGGAACCACGATTTTAGAGGATGCTACCGGTAGCTTTAGACTGTCATTCCTTTTATAAACCAGTCAGGTATTTTTTGCAAATGTGGTATCTTCCATTTAAGAATAAAAAAGACTGAGGTGTCCATAACTCCACAACCGCGATAAATATTCATTTATCAATGCATTGTCTCGAACCTCTATTAATAATTTTTTGTACTTTTATTTATGGGGGGGGGGGAACAAATGAATTTTTGCTCACACAGGCCATGAGTATGGGATAGTCAAATGTGTATGGAATTGAACAGGTTTTCTCTTTCCTAAACAAAATGTTATCATTTTAGCAACACCCATTCATGAAGACATTTCTTGTTTTGTTCAAGGGAATTGGCGCATTTGCTCTGCGCAAAAAAAAGCAAATGCATGCGTGTATCTACTGTTCCATAATTTTGCCACGAGTTTTTTTAAACATTTAATGATGCACTTAAGTTGTTTGCGTGTGCACTCTGCATTCACTCCATCTAATTGCATTACTTTGTTTCCTATATTTTTAGCCTATATTTTTATGAATGATACTCAGAGAACTCAAACAGAACAATACTCCAACAGACTTGGTGGAATGAACCCTTGTGCGTGTACACTTTTTAGCCTCCGTTTTTCATATTTTTTGTTCAAAACTATTTATATATTTTTTTATATATGGTTTTTATTATTATATCTTATTTCTTGGTTTATTTATTTATTTATGTACTTATTTACATATGGAAACGTTTACCAGCTTTTGTCTCATAAAAGATTTATGTCCCTGTGTATGGTTCTGTGTGTGTGTATGCACTCACACACATTTGCCGGGGATGACGACATGTGTGTGCTCATGCATACAGGCCTACGTATCTGTTAAATTTTTTAATTAAGTATTATAGCTTTGATTTCATTATGACATCTTCATTTCTCAGAGAAAAAGAAGTAATTGACACAAAACACGAACTTCAATGAATAATGAATAACCTCAGTCCTGTTTTCAGGTGTGCGATCACACCCCCATGCCATCACACGCCTAAAAGCTTCCCGAGAAGTGCCAATAATCACACGCCTGAATCCCTCAGCACCGCACACCTTGGCATACATTCACAGCATTATTATACTTCATAATTTGTGAAAAATAAAGTATGTCAGTGAAGAGAATACATGTATGGCTTAATTGTAAACCAAGATGAATATTATGAAATAACATCCCAGCTTGGACCATACATGTAGAATCACACGCCTAAAAAAATCCTGGTGTGCCTTTTTCCCACGCATCTGTGATTTTCAAACCAGAAGGACTGTAACCAGATATAAATAATCGCTATATTTAAAACATAAGTTCTGCGAATTTGGGAAAAACAGATCTAAACCAACCTAAAACAATAGACAAAGAACTTTACAATTAATTATGCATAAATCACACAATAAACAAAACAATAAACATGCTAAAAGGCAACAGTGCTTGCACAGCGGAAGATGAACACCGCTGGAATTTGCGTTTGCACGTACCTACTGCCACAGTGGTACGATCCAAGTAAGTGGTCAACAGACGCTGGATATGATTGGTGAAATTTCTAAGAAATGCCTTTTTTCGATAAAAGTGACAAACCAATGAGAACAAGTTTTACATCAAGTAAAAGCTTGGGAAAAGACCATTCATAATCTATTTGAACCAAGGCCGCCCGACCACAGGGTAAACGGAGAGGGTTCGCAAAAGAGGCCGAGGGATGGTAAATCGGGCTATTCTCAGCCAATCTCCATATAAAAAAATCCAATATTTAGGCCTACAGTTCTTAAACGTTTTTTGCGACGAATGTGTGCATTACATGTATTTCAGTTTTCTTTTCAGGTTTTGGTTGTGATGACTAGTTTCAGTGAACTTGAATTCATTCAACGAGAATTTCAAAGCAACTTTTCGTTCATGAGTTCCTGCAGGCAATTTCAAACAACATTGAGATGGTGGGCTTATGCACCATCTTGAACCCACCACAGATATTAAGGGAAGATCCCATTTTCCTGGCATTGAAAGTGGAAAAAGTTTTACTGATGAATAAAATTCAATGATTGAACAAGAATCTGAGTCTTTAATTTTGTATGTTCTTATGCTCTTTCATGACAAATGTCCGCCAGCAGACTGTGCTGATTTTATTAACATTAAACAATGTTAAAGAGAACCAACCCCGTTTGTGCACCACATTTTCAAGACAATTGTGCTTAATGATGCCGCAAGAAGATTTACCAAGGTGTCATTGAAAAGCACGTAGCTTCTGCTTTTTGCTGGTAAATGTATAGGCCTAGGCTGGCCATCCTTTAAGGTACACGTAGGATACAATACGGTTTTCCGGTGCTCGTCTCCGGAGAACCCCTTTGGCACAGGGGGGCGTGAGTGGACATTCTAACAGCCTTCTTGTAGGCAAGAAATCGTATGGGATATCTGATTGGTCCGTTTGCTGCAGCCAGCATACTTTCAACCAATCCCTGATGGGGAACTAGGCAGGCTGGCAATGTTTCGCGCGTTTTTCTCCCTTTTCCGCTTTCTTTCGCCGAGCTTCACACACGACAAAATAAAATCCTCCGTACCTTTCGACAATTTTCGACTTCTTCGAATCACCCAAGAACCCCGCATTATGCCGGGTAACAGAGGCCGCAAGCGCAAGAACCCAAGGGACGGCGGACAGCGGGAAAAACGTCCTCTAGGCCATCATCCTCGCCAAACTCGAGCACAAGCCAGAGCAATGCAGACGTTGCTAAACCCGCCATCGGTCGCCAACAGCGATGCTGCAGGCTACGGTCCCGAGGAACAGCGCCCTCTGTCGTCGGGAGCGGAGGTCATACCACCTGAGGTCACACGTAATCACGCTGCAGCCACCAGCGTGACCGCGACGGCCGTAAACGCCGCCGGTCGCCCGGTCCACCCCCAGATTCCTGGGGTCAAGGAAAAAATTGTAAAAAGCGAGTTCCTAGAACTCGACACTCTCTTGGACCGCCACGGACCTAACCCACAACCTCCCATTCACATTGGATAAGTCAGGCCAATTACGTGTGACTGACGCAAAGAAAAAACCGCAGATAAATTCCATTTTGGCATGGACCGATGCATTCCTAGTTTTTGCATCTGTGTTCCTCAGTGCGCACCCCGCGCGGTTGCAGGAGTTACTTAAATATATGCACGTGGTTCGCATGGCGGCTGCACGCTTCACTGGCCGCGGTTGGTTGGAATACGACCGGCAGTTTCGCATGCGCCAGCAATTTCACCCATCTAGGGCATGGTCCATCATTGATGGGGAGCTGTGGGCGCTCTACATTGCTGCCCCAGGGCCTTCGTACGTAGGCGCAGGCGGGCAAGGGGGGCCCCCACTCGTCGCACCCAAACGAGCTTACAATTCTTTTCGCTGGCCATCCCGTCAATCCCCCCGCACCAGTAACATCTGCTTTGCATTCAATCGGACCCCGGGCTGCTCAAGGGTACAGTGCCCATTCCCCCACAAATGCTCCGCTTGCTTCTCAACCGGACATGGGTCGTCTGCTTGCAAAACCCCTGCCAACAAGAAAAATACCACTCGTCCCTAGGGGGCTCAGCCCACATCTTTCCCCTCATCAGCCTTGTACTAGCTCTCCCAACTGCGTATGTTGCCTCGCGCATTCACCAGTGATTATAGAATGTCTCTTACCATGGCTAGATAATTACCCCAACACAAAGGTAGCAAATACGCTACGCTCTGGGTTCACAACTGGGTTCAAATTGGGTTACAACGGCATCCGCATAGCTAGGGACTCTAAGAATTTATCCTCCGTTAGGAAAAACCCTGAAATAGCACTCGATAAATTACATAAGGAGGTCCAGCTGGGGCGCATGGCGGGCCCATTCGAAACGAGTCCAATTCAAAACCTTAGAATTTCCCCCATAGGTCTGGTTCCCAAAACAGACCCTGGCAGCTTTAGGCTGATACACCACCTCTCCTATCCCGAATCTGACTCTGTCAATGACGGCATTGACAAACAATTATGTTCAGTACAATACACCACCTTTGATGACGCAGTTAGCTTAGTGGTAAGCTCGGGGAGGGGGGCCCTGATGGCCAAAGCCGATATTAAGTCAGCCTTCCGTCTTCTGCCAATCCATCCTGCTGATTTTTGCTTATTGGGCATTAAAATGCGGGACAGAATCTATGTTGACAAAACACTCCCGATGGGAGCAGCATGCGCTCCAGCATATTTTGAGAAGTTTTCCTCCTTCATTGAGTGGGTCGTGAATAGACGATCAGGTTCTGGACACATATGCCATTATGTGGACGACTTCCTGATGGTCGGGGGGGCAACTTTAGGTGGCCCCCTCTCATGCCAGAGCATGTTGGACTGCTTCATTCAAGTTTGTGGGGAACTAGGGGTGCCACTAGCAAACGAAAAAACGGTCCTTCCCTCCACACAACTGACATTCCTGGGGTTGGAAATTAATTCCATATCGCAAACTGTGTCAATCCCCACAGAGAAACTTATCAACATCACCAAAAAGATTCAGGAGGCAATCCGTCCCTCCAAAATAACCCTCAGAAATCTCCAATCACTCATTGGATCCCTATCCTTTGTGTGCCGTGCCGTCTCTCCTGGACGAGCCTTCCTCAGGAGACTGATCGACGACACAAAAAACGTAAAGCAACCTTGGCACCTAATTAGGCTTTCAAAGGGCGCGAAGGAAGACCTGAACATGTGGCAGGTGTTCCTGCGTAGCTTTAACGGGAGGACAATAATTCCTGACCAGTACTGGGCACTAGACGAAGATCTTCAACTTTTCACAGACGCTAGTGGGGGCATAGGATTTGGGGGGTACTTTCTGGGCCAATGGTTTACCGGGATTTGGCCTCAATCTGTCAAGGATGACAACCCATCCATCGCTTGGCTAGAATTCTTCCCAGTAGTTGTGGCTCTCACACTATGGGGGAAATCCCTTGCCGGGAAGAAAATAATTATCAGGTCAGACAATGAGGCAGTGGTTTCAATAATTAACAAACAGTCATCAAAATGTGGGAAGATCATGAAACTGGTCCGATTCTTTGTCCTCCAGTGCCTCCATGACAACGTTAGCTTCAAGGCCAGACACATTTCGGGAATACATAATAACATCGCTGACGCGCTCTCCCGTTCACAGATGAATCGATTTCGAGAGGTCGCTCCCTCAGCAGCCAAAGACGGGCTGGAAGTCCCACCATTTCTATGGAGGCTATAAACACGGAAGCCCTCCGACTCCTGGGGGCATCCTTTGCGAGTAGTACTTGGGGAACATATAGCAAGGGTGTGGAACAGTTCATCCAATTCCGGCATCATGCTGGCCTCCCACCCCTCTGGCCAGCTCCATGTGGCCACATTGCAGCCTTTATTGCCCATCTCTCACTAGAAGGCCTCGCCCCTTCCACAATCGGTACGTATACAGCCGCGGCCGCTTATGTACATAAAATTAACGGATGGCCCGACCCCACCGACAGCTTCATCGTTCGAAAAATGAGGGAGGGTTGCCGCCGCCAGGGCCGCCGCTGCGACACTAGGCGCCCCATCACGGCAGAACTCCTCGAAAAAATATGCAACATTCTGCGTGCAATCACCTCATCGGATCTTGAGGCTGCACTTTTCTGTGCCGCATTTTCACTGGCCTTTTTCGTTTTTTTCCGAGTTGGGGAACTAACAACTGCTAGCAAATCCGCCGGGCATGACCGAACCCTCAACTTTCATGACGTCTGGTTTGAAAGCAATGATCACTCTGTACTGGTGGTCAGGCTCAGGTTTTCCAAAACTGATCAACGGGGCGATTCTGTTGAACTGCGTTTTCATAGGGATCACCACTCCCCCACTTGCCCCGTGAACATGGTTTCAAGTTACCTCCTCTTGCGCCCACACCTTTCAGGCCCATTTTTTGTTCATGTAGACGGTACACCCCTAACAACCTACCAGTTCAGCCAAATGCTGCGTAAATCCTTAGTGGCCCTAGGCCTTCCCCCTCAGGGCTTTAGCCCCCACAGCTTCCGCATTGGGGCGGCCACTTCCGCCGCTCTGAATGGAACCCCGGTCCCGCAGATCCAATTATTAGGCCGCTGGAAATCCCAAGCCGTAAATTTGTACATCCGGCCTGACAAAGTCCTCCCTCCCTCCCACACAGGGCTGCCCCAGCTGTAACATGTCATTTGCATCCCCGGTTCTGCTTTTGTTTTTGCTTAACTCCATAGGTACAACACGCACCTGGGTGGTTGGTGACAGCATTGTCTTCCGCGCCGGCGAACACGCCTTAAACGAGCCATCATTGGGGCTGCTCACTTGGCGGGGCGTGCGGGGTGCCAAAATATCATCGATGGTCCCCTCTATCCGAGCACAACTCCAACACTCCCCGGTTCCTACCACCATTGTGATCCACCTGGGGACCAACGATTTATTTTCAATTCCTGTTAAAGAGATCCGAGGCAGGTTGGAGGAGGGCTTACAGGGGTTAAGACACATGCTGCCTCACACACGCATAGTTTGGTCGGACATTCTCCTGCGTCTGTTCTACTATGGAGAAGAGCGCCCGGGTGTTGGCAAGAGAAATGTCAACGCTCTGAATAAGTATGCTCATAGGGTGTGTAAAAACTTGGGAAATGCCCACGGGATCGTGCACTCCTGTAATATCAACTCTAGCCAGCAGTCTCTCTACTGGCGGGACGGCCTCCATCTGTCCTCCCTGGGAAGCCAACAATTCTGCAAAAATATTTCGGCAGCCCTGGCCTTCTTTACATCACACCCATCAGCCCTTCTCCATCCTCCCTCGTCGTAAGTTGTTATCTATAGCTCACCGGTCAGTTAACACCTCGGTGTGGTCCTAAAACCAGCCATTCAAATAAATATTAGGTGTCAACATGCTATGCACATTGGTTCACTGCTCGGGGGGGGGGGGGGGGGGGGGGGGGGGGGGGGGGGGGGGTTTGGCAAGTTCCTGTATTCGTAACTTGTTTGGCAGAAATGAGGGGGGCGGGGACACGCCCAAGGTGGAACTAGGGGGGTTAGAAAATCAGAACGACTAATTTTGTATAAAACCAATCACCAGAATCTTAATTCTAGCTAATCACCTAATATTCTGATTACTCTATATCTTGATTATAACCCTTGATCCTAAAGTTTTCATTGCCACCGTTCACTTTTGCTATATATTTTATATAACTGTAAGTGTTGTTCATATATGTGGTTTATTGTAGCTTGATAACCATTGTATTAAGACTCAGTGTAATTTATTTGGTGTAACTTGCCGCGCTTAGTATACCTGTAACTTTATGCTTAATTGCATGGTTTGGTGGTTTACAACACTCATTGTCATCGTTATTTGATTACCAAATTATTGCATTGCGGGGCCTCAACATACAGTGTAATAGTAGACAATGCAAACACGGTAATATTGTATTGGTTAATACATGTAAGATACATGGGACTGTATCATCAAGAGCAATAAACGCTCGGCGAAGGTTAGCCGAAGCTGACCACATATATCCATGTCCGTGTGCTCTCTCTCGTCCTCTCTAGGGCCAATACGGTTTTCCGGTGCTCGTCTCCGGAGAACCCCTTTGGCACAGGGGGGCGTGAGTGGACATTCTAACAGCCTTCTTGTAGGCAAGAAATCGTATGGGATATCTGATTGGTCCGTTTGCTGCAGCCAGCATACTTTCAACCAATCCCTGATGGGGAACTAGGCAGGCTGGCAATGTTTCGCGCGTTTTTCTCCCTTTTCCGCTTTCTTTCGCCGAGCTTCACACACGACAAAATAAAACCCTTCCCTCCCTCCACCATTTAACCAGTTAGTACTGGGCTTACACAATTTTAGTTAGCCCCATGTTTGGGAGTAGCCACTGAACGTTGGAGGTAACCCCTTTGAGGCTAGAGTTAGAGCTGGAGCACATCTTACATGAATGTCATTGACAAGTAAGAAGGGGATGGGGCAGATGTAGACAGGTCCAGACTGGGCGTCAGTTGTCGCATTTCTTCTGGGCTGGGTCTGTTGGGCATAATTTATACCTCAGGTGACGTGAGGTGGGATTTGGTAATCCCGACATGTACACACCTCCCTCGTGGAGGCTGGATTTTGTTCAGCCATGTTTTCTTGTGGACTGTCTGAAGTCCTCCTGGTCGACAGTTTTTCTGCAGGCTTTAATGCCAGGCATATTTTTATGCAGATATTGCTTTGCAATCTGTTTCTCGCCAGGGGGCATTTGTACTCCCAACATCCCTAGCATGCCGCTAAGTAGACCCCTCCCCAGTTCTCACAGTACACGTATACTGCTGCTCTGGGACCCCCACATTACTCGCGGGCTTGGCCTGCTCTCGGGGACCCATATCTCAGCTCTGACCACATAAAAGGCAAACTCACTAGTGCGCCGGGATGGCCTCTCTGGGCCTGTGGCCGCCAATCCCTGCATTCTAAATACAACTTGCCTCTCCCCAACTTGGGGATTCTTCCCCTTGGCCTCCTTCTGTATTTTGGAAGGACGGGGGAGGGGGCAGAAATGAGGGGGGCGGGGACACGCCCAAGGTGGAACTAGGGGGGTTAGAAAATCAGAACGACTAATTTTGTATAAAACCAATCACCAGAATCTTAATTCTAGCTAATCACCTAATATTCTGATTACTCTATATCTTGATTATAACCCTTGATCCTAAAGTTTTCATTGCCACCGTTCACTTTTGCTATATATTTTATATAACTGTAAGTGTTGTTCATATATGTGGTTTATTGTAGCTTGATAACCATTGTATTAAGACTCAGTGTAATTTATTTGGTGTAACTTGCCGCGCTTAGTATACCTGTAACTTTATGCTTAATTGCATGGTTTGGTGGTTTACAACACTCATTGTCATCGTTATTTGATTACCAAATTATTGCATTGCGGGGCCTCAACATACAGTGTAATAGTAGACAATGCAAACACGGTAATATTGTATTGGTTAATACATGTAAGATACATGGGACTGTATCATCAAGAGCAATAAACGCTCGGCGAAGGTTAGCCGAAGCTGACCACATATATCCATGTCCGTGTGCTCTCTCTCGTCCTCTCTAGGGCCAATACCCTGTAGGATACCACAGTGCATGGCTTCGCTTTTGTCCTCAAAGTATGACATCAGCATAAATATTAATATTAAGGGAATGCCAAGTTGTACCGCCCCAATAAAAAAATCCCCATCTCAACCATACCTTTAATCTGTGCATTGCCATGGGCACAGAAGACTAGAAGCAGGTACCACGTTCCCACAAACCAAGCTGCAAACATTGACCTGCAAGGGCCACCCATCTTTTTACTCACAACCAACACAACAGCTTTTGGGAGTTAACAAATAACAGTTGGAATGTTTAGGATGAAGCTCACAAAATTGTCAAACACTGGTTTTCACTGGCGAATTGGGTGGAAAACAAAATGACTATACTGGCTGTAAGAAACACCCTCTCCTTTGGGAATCCAGTGATCACATGTCATCGTTTCAAAGTTGACTCTATTATAGTGATCGTCAAATCCCGTACTGTAGGCTTGCAACCAATCCAACATGTACCGGAAAGTCTTAACCTGCGTGCGCGCATGTGCACATCAATCGCTCAGGGTAACTTTTTTTGGTTTTTCCACTTTTCTTCGTGTTTCCACATGCCCACTGTTTGTATTGCACTTCCGCACTGCAGTTACTTTATCAGTCTGTGAACTGCCTTCCTAGTGCATGTGATGGATTGATGTGAAATATACGCACTTCCTTCCTTGACATTTGAAATAACACATTAAACATACACGTACCGGTACATCCTGTGCAAACCATGTGAAATTCCGTTATGTGATGTGGTCAGTCTTATTTATCGACCAAAAACAGTTAGATGCATTTCCTTATAATGCCATTCCCACCACCGATACACCAAATGTAATCAGATTCCCCAAGCTTCCCACTTTCGTTTTTGTAATTTTGGATAATACGGTACAAGTATGAGGTTACATGTGCTATGTATTTTATTTTCTCTAATTTTATGTATTCATGTCTTTCAGAGGATTTCCTTTAAAATGATAAAGAGTGAAATCTGAAGGTTCGTGTCAATGAAGTGTACATTTCAAAGTTGTAAATGCATGAAGTTGAACATGCTCCCATAACTCTGATCCTTTCCAGCCAAAAAAAAGTAGACAGGTCTACATCTATACTTTAATTCCAGGATTTGTGTGTGTGTGTGTGTGTGTGTGTCTGTCTGTCGGTTCGAGCGGTTCTCGAAAAAGCTGCAAAAAACCCCGAAAATTTTAGCCCATTTTAGGATCTCATGAAAGATTTGGCCTGTGTAAGCATGAGTATGGCACCGCTGAGTTGTGTGATGTCACAATTAACACAACGTACAAGAATTTGGTAAACAAAAGAGATGCGTATAAGGCAAAAAAAAGTCTTCGGTTTCTGGTATGGAGCTTGCCCAAAAGTGGTGCGGTGACACAGCTTTTTCCCATACTTTTTTGTACAACACCATCTGAAATGGTGCCCAACTATTCTGTGCAAAATATATGGGAGCCCAGAAAGGCCACATAAAGCTTATACTCGATCGTAACCCCATCTAAAAACACGTTAAAACTGTGCAGCAGCAGGATTCCAGTCAAACCAGTGAGTTTGGCAGTTTTGAGGGTTGAGACATCATCTTACATTTTAATTTTGGCGACGCGTGCATACCAAAAACAGAGCCTTCTCTTTTTTTGGCTTAAGTACCGGTACATGTAACATACCATGTACATGTTTACACATGTGCGTTCAACCGATGAACATGTGTACAACCTGTGGAAACAACACCATGAATCGTGTGCACTGTTTGTATGAGCAGTTCTCAACTGCCCCTTCTGAACTCGGTCCACTCGGAAGTCCGACGCCTCATACGTCCGACGCCTCATAAGTCCGACATTTCGGACTTATGAGACGTCAGACCTAAGAGGTGTCGGACTTATGAGGCATCACATTTATTTAATCCGATAGCTCTGACGCCTCATAAACTCCGAAACAGTGTTTGTCCACTGTCGGACTAATGAGGCTTTCGGACCTATGGACAAACTAAGTGGAAGGCACAAACATACGTGTCCCCACTTCACTCCCATAGGAAAGCGCATATATGTAAACGACGCCATTATGTCATTACATCTCAGGTCTATTGTGGCATCTGTTTTCTTTTACATGTTGAATTATACATTATTAAGGGAATAAATGTGTGCTCCGGAGGTTTTTATCACTCGTTTAATACTGCTTAGAGTCTGGGTGCTGATAATTACCCGAGCCGGAGGCGAGGGTAATTATCAGCACCCAGACTC